GTCGGGTCGAAGCGTTGTAAACAGATGAGCAACACCGCATTTACCCTCTCCACAAAAGTATTTCCCAAAATTCGAGATCTTCATAGGGAACTCCAAATTGAATGCAAGTGCTGCGAACCGTAAAATAGGTATGATGACGGCTCATGAAATAACAACAAAAAAATGATTAATTCCAGAAAAGTTTCCTATTTTTGTAGGAATCACTAAGTCGAACACTCTCTTTGACAAATTTTTTAATCAATCCGCTCTGTTCGGAAGCTTCAGAGTTCTTAAACATCACATATCATCGTTGGTGAAAAATCGTTGGTCCATTAGATTACTCAGGTCATTTTTCCCTTGCTTTCACGTCTTGATCTTGCCATTCTTGCCATTTAGAACAAGTCAACAATATTCTAAAAATGTAAGCTTCTTTGAAAAAAAACGGAAGTATAGAGACTCTTAATATCTTAAAAATAGTTGGCCCTCAAATTAAAAAATCTACAACTTTGAAAAAGACCAAATATGTAATCGCTTCCAAATATTTTCTTTGACCTTTTTTTTCAAGTGTTTCAAAAAGCGCTGTAACTTTTGAGAGACCTAACATTCAGATAGTCTTCATTAACTATCCGCACTGCGTAACTGTAACGAACTTGGATACTTGGCCACTCATCTTCACTTGCGGGCCCCAGCATTTTTTCTATTCGTTTCTTTCTCATGTAATCGTCTTCCACGGTGACGAATTCGATTCAAGTCTGGGATATCATTCGTTTAGACACTGTTGAAAGCTTTCTCGTAGTAGTGAGGGGTTAGGACAAAGGGTAAATGGTACTCTCAACAGACTTGTCCCACCCATAATACGGTTTGATGTCGTCTATGGAGCAGAACCTGTTTCAATCCTGTCTGCTCAGCTGTTGTGCCTCATCTAATGTCTGTGATATATGTGCAAAGTGATAATCTTCGTGAGCAGCTTGTAGAGTACACTCAACGGGAATACTGGACGGCACTTACGAAGATCCATTCAGTCACTGTTATTGGGTGTAAAAACTCTACGCGACATTATTCACTGGTCTGAGATTTCTTCGCCTTGAAGATAGGATGTCATGCAGGTTGAGAGATAAAAGCTAAAGTTCTCGGTGTTGATCAATCTCTAAGAGTTGCGCCGTGCATTCAACTTCATTAAGTATTGCTAAAATTGGTTGAATGTATATCTGGCTTTTACAATGTCGCGGTGGCCTACCAATGTATTGAGCCAGTACTGCTATTTTCCCAGACAAATCTAATACCAATTTGTCGACCCTGGAGATATGGAAGGGCTTGGTGATCTTTTGGGCGCTGGTATCGTCTTCTTGTGTATTGCAGGGCTCCTCCGGCTACTGCGCCATACGGGCCTTTAGATTCAGAGAATTACCTGTAATTTAACCCTTCGAAATAGAATAAAATCGACTTTAATATTATTGGTTCTTAGAAATGAGCTTTCCCTCATGCTTTTTTTCCATCTCGAACTTCAGAGTGTGGAATACTGGATGCCTTTTCACCAGCGAGGATTTCGTGGTAAGAGGCGGCAGTTGTGGAACGGTAAAAATTGGTATGGTACATTTTTCTTATTTGTTCCATAACATAGCGAGATATAGTGACAGTTTCATCTTCTGAAGAACGACTTTTCCTTAATTACGGCATTGATTGACATTCCACTGACTTTCTTCGACAAACAAGCACAAAGTTGATATTGAAGAATTTTTAGCTTACAATAGTCACCTTTCCGTGAGAAGTCACGCGTTCACCACCGCACCATGCGGGTCTTTCGTTTCGCCTGTCTCTCAGCAAGAAATAAATTTTTATTTCGCCTGTCTCTCAGCATGGAACGAATTTTTGTGGAAGAAACGTGCTTGGGAACATAGTCCGACGAGATAGTTTCCATTTCCATTTCGTTTTGTTATCGAATTTTTCTATCCCGTATTCATTTTCGTTGGCCGTTCTTAAGTTGGCATTGAAGTCTCAAATAAAGATTTTATAGAAGGACTTCTTGTTGTAAACTATTGTTTTCACCTGGTTGTAGAACGCTTCCAGTTCGCTCTTACCACCCCTACAAGTTGGACAGTCGATGATAATAACTTCTAAGTTAGAAACGAAGAATGGGCCAAGCCCAGTGGTAGGATTTCGTATGAGGTGACAAGTTGGGTAATAAATAGGCGTATACGCCTCCGACATTTCGTAATGTAAATTTCCCTCTACGAATGAAAAGAGTCCTGTCATCTAACTGACGTATGTCGGTCTGCCTACTTTTCGGCTCTTGCAGGGCAATTGCAAAGCCTCTAACGCGATCGGCGGTTTCAAGGAAAGCGTAAGATCCACTTTTGAAGAGACGGTTCTAGTGTTATAAGTCCATAGCAAGAAACACGATGTGTTATGGGCGCGCATTTCTTGTACGTTTTCAATTTCGCCCTGTACAAACCGAGATTTGATCAATTCTCACCTGTTGTCTCACTGGTTGACGCTGCCTACAGGAGCTGCCAAGGTGCTAACCGTGCAAGTTTAACTATGCGGTTAGCTGGTGTGCCGAGGTCAACCTATTCGAAGCAGTCTTCATGTAGTCACCACCCCAGGGTGGATCAAGGATAGATTTTCCACCTTTCCACGATTTTTACACAAAGACGGTGGTGATTTATGATAACAACAGTGCGCTTAGCAGAAATCCAGCTGGCGGGGAAATGTTTCTTCGGAACGATAAGATTTCTTCCAGCTCCTTACCACATGAACTACATCGCTTCAGAATTAGAGGACTAAAGAGATTTATAGGAAAGATTTTTCTGTAACCAAGTCGGAGTGTGTACGTTGGAATGTCTTCACTTTTGCAGTCTTTTAGAGTTAAGGCTTTCGAAAAATTGCAAATTAGTTCTAAAATCACAATGTTAACTTTTCACTTGCTCACTATTACAATTTTTTACGACCGGCTATTATGTAAAATATAACTTCAATAATGCTGAGACTCCTCAAAACTCCGGACCACAGGTGTCTGTAGTGTGGAACGAACGCGCTGTTACCATTTCCGGGGAATGACGCATTCACCACCACACTATGCGGGTCCTTCGCTTCACCTGTCTCTCAGCTTGTTTTCTATCTACCAGTGCCATCGGCAATCACTCGCGTAATAGGAGGCAAATGAAAAGTGAGCATTGTGATATCAACTATAGCTTCAGCTTAACTGAGTTCTGTGCCGATTTTGGCTTTCCAGATCAATCCTGTTCATGGTTTCTTCCTTACAGTAGAAACCCGCGGTCCGGTGTTTGCAGAGATTTCGACATCACTGCAGTTGTAAATCTAAACTTTTAAAATTTCCAAAGCAAGTTTGGCAGCTGGAAACATAAACGATACGTTGTCAAGCACCAACGTGACCTACTACATGAAGCCATGCTTGTTCGCTTACTTCCACGTTCGAGTTATAAGCCTTGAAGCATAAAGTAAAATAAATATGTTTAATTAGTAATAAACATTAATCATCAAGAGTGGGATATGTCTAGAAAGTTAAAATTTCATCTGGGTGGGATAAAATAACTTATAGACGTCTATAGATTCCATTGGCTTCTTTCTCAATAAACAAAATTTAATACCAACGATGACATGAAGGCTTAAATCTGAAGACGACACATATTTTTTTTTACAAATATGTTACATCCTATGTGTCTCAAGCGCTGTAGATTAACCATATGGTTTCCTAATTATGATTGGTGTAAAATTTAGCGAACGTCTTTAAATTTCTCGAACGAACCTTTCGGGAAAACTCAGAAGCTGTACAATGGCTTAACTTTTATTCACTACCTATTCTTTTTTTCCATGGCAGGGTGCTACGTAAAATACAAGTACAACCTCAAGCCCGCAGTGGTGTAAGCAAAATTTGGGACCTCAGATAAGCACCGATCACATGATTAACCTTTCGGGATCTTGAGTACACCACCGACCCCTTGCTCTGCCTTTTTCGTAGCTACTTTTTAGATCTATCGGCTACCAGCAGTCACATATCAGCGGGATTGGTCTGGGAGGCACACGTCAGCGTTGAATTCAATTGTGTTGAAGCTCCAATCATACCAGTTGGTAGATGATTGCTGATAGAACTGGTGGAGCAAAAACATAGCTGAGAGAAAGGCAAGGCAAGGATACCAGTTGGTGTGGTGATTAGCACGTAAGGGTCTGCGAAGGGTAATCGCCTGTTCGAAACGCGTTTCTCGTTCCGAGTTTTGGCCACATCTTAGCATCTTTGTGGTTAAAAGCTTTGGCTATGACTCAAAAGATCGACTTTATGTAAATCTCGGAATAATAATCGATAGATTTATATACATGCTCTTGCGAACTGCCTTTGTTTAGCTGAAGCGAGGTTGTTATAGATTTTATTATTGTCGCTGTTGTCGTTGTTTAATGGTTCATGTTTTGACGAATTCTGCTTTCTCAGAGCCTGGACGTACCACGATATGTAACAGTAGCCCCATAATTCAGCGAACTCCATATCATTAATGAAGATCCAACGTATAGGTGTTAGTTTTGACTTACGACGTGCGTGTTGACGAGCCTATATATAGCTTTAACTGTGGTAAAATGTTAAGGTTTCGAAGCTCGTTCTTCGGCGGATTTTTAAACACTCGGAATACCACATCAATCTCATGAACAGAGCAGAAGAGCCAAGAAGCTTCTGAAACACTTTTAAATCGCAGTTGCTTAGAAATGTCATTAACGTATACGTATCATCCTTTATCTGAGAACTATAAACGAAGTATGCGTATGTTTACTTTGCATATGCGAATGTCTTCATTTTCATTTAGAGCGCGGATAGCATAAGAAAATGTCTGCAGAAATTCTAAGCCAGCTAGTAAAGTGTATGTTAGATGCTGGTCTATAGTTCTCTTAAACGTGTAAGATATCTACGTCGGTCTTTCCGAAATCGCCAAGAAAACAAGTGCAAAGTGCAGATGTTGTGAGGTGCATCAATAGTCGTCAGGGTATCGACACTGTTTCTGCTACAATGAGCTCATTTACTCCTTCCATACGCAAGTGTCATATATGTGCACTTCGGTGTGTTTGTTTCATGGGTTGGCTGTGTTTGGCATATCAATTTCGCCTGCAACACAATTAATGGAAAACATATGGAAGGTACATCAGAGATGCACGAAAATAACCAAGCCACGTGTCTAATGCAGAAAGGTTTAGTAAGGACAAAGTAGTTGTAGAAGTAATTAAACGAAGGGAGCTAAGAACTGAGCTCATTATGGTAAGTGCAGTAGGTAACTCGTAAGCCATCGCGGAGGTAATCAAGGGTTTAAACTGAAAATAAATGATATTCACAGAATTCTTCATAAAGCAAACCACTTCCTTGAGTGGTCGTCAAAAGAGGATGAAGCCGATAATAATACTCCTTTAGGTTGTGCGCTTATTGGTGACCTGTCATGCAGAAATCCAGGCATTATTTATATCTAAATGAATAAACGACAGGCTAAAATAAGAAAACAACTAAGAATCATGAGTTTTTGATGCTTTCTCTTCAAGCCAACATGGCCTTCGCTTGATGCTCGCCCTCTTCCACAATGGTATGACGACGTGAAATTCGGGATATTCTGTCATTGGGGAGTTTACTCAGTTCCAGCTTTTAGGTTGGTTTGAATTTGAAAATAATTACTTGTGGTTGCTGTTGATATCATTATCCGTTGGTAATAATTTACTTTTTAACGGATAATCCATTTTACAGCAGTCGGTATTGTGTTAGCTAGTACAAAGCGAATATTTACTAATTTGGGCACTTGGATGGCCCCTCTTCACTGGTTATGCGACGTCAAAACAATTTCCATTCGTTTCCCTCTCGCGCAATCGTCTTCTTCGGTGTTTGTCTGGATTTGAACTTGGTGACATCCACGACATCCATCCCATAGTCTTGAAATCGTTGCCGTCGGCGAGTGCAGATGGAAGACCTTAGTCACAAACACGTCCGCTCATCGCTTTGGTGAGCTTCTAAGAGGATGCTCGCATTCTCTTAGAGTCCACTACTCTTTTCGTCCATCTATCACTTGGTTGCTCTTTTTATGTAGCGGATTCTAGAGCTTTGGTTTGGTACTTTTGTTGCCCATCTTCACTCGTTGCGCGAGCCGCAGCATGATTTCCATTTTTCGGCATTTTGCTGGTTTAACCATTGTGAATCCCTGTTGTCCCGAGATCAGCCTGGTCAAAGTCTGCCCCAGGTAGCCACCACCACAGGCAATCGCCACCCTTGCGAATCACGTATCACCTGTAGTTCCGCTGATCGTCGAGTGACTCGAGCGGGCGCCAGTAGATCTTCCAATATACCCTGCCACATGTAAGGGTACCCCAGTGGGCTCTGCTCGCTCTTGTGATTCGTCGAGCATCATATCTTTCTTCAATGCTCTTTGTGAAAAGCTCTGACCATCGGGTCGGTGGTCTTCCTGTAGTACGTTTGAGATCCCGAGGAATCCAGTCATTAACGGCTCTTGTCCATCGGTTTCCATTCATAAGCATTACGTGTCCGGCCCAACTTATAATCGACTGTCTGGTGCACAGAACGGCATCTTTGATTTTTGATCGTTGTCGCAGATCGAAGCTTCGGATCCCATTCCTTACTTGTGCGGAACGGGATACTCTTGCCATCGTCCTTTCAACTGCGCGTTCGAAAACGGTGAGTGATCTTTCTTCCTGCTTACGCAGCGACTAGGTTTCTGACGCATACGGTAACGCAGCAAGCACCGTTGAGTCGAAAAGGTGGGCATCGGATTGGGCGCTCTTTCTTTTGTTCACTACGTCCTCGATGCTCCCGAGAGCTCCTCAGGCTTCTTCCTTCAGCTCAACTCTGGAGCTAAGTGCTTAATAACATTGATTTTCCGACCTAGATAGATATAACTGGAGCGTTCGAAGATATTCGTTCCGTTGAGCGTGAATGGGGAATGCGAAACCAATCCGTTCCTCATAAACATCGTTTTTGTGAGATTAAGTCGAACACCAAATCTTTCCACAGGCTTTATCAAAGTTGGCAAGCATTCGTTCCGCTTTGATTATGTTTGTTGTTATAAGAACGATGTCATCAGCAAGGCGAATAAGGTGTATTTGCCGACCATTGATTTTCACTCTACGTTGTTTTTTCCAATGTTCGCATGACGTGCTACAGGGTGGTGGCAAATAATTTTGGCTAGATGGTATCGGTTTGCCTAACTCCTCTTTTGACATCAATGTTAATATCGTTGTAGAATGGTGATACCTTGGTTGTGAAATTTTTGTACGGCTCACGAAGAGTCTTTATGTAATGAGTAGGGACTCCTTAACTATCAAGGGCTTCCAAGACTGCTTCTATCTCAACTGAATCAAAGGCCTTTTGTAAATCGATGAAATTGAGACAAAATGGTCTTTTGTACTCTCGCGATACTTCAATGAGCCGTGTTACCGTGTGGGTATGGTCCATCGTACTAAATCCTCTTCGAAACCCTGCTTGCTCACATGGCTGTCCTTCGTCTAGTGTTCTGTCAATCCTGTCTAGGATGACTCGAGTGAAAAGTTTGTAGACGACAAACAGTAAACAGTTTGGGCGATAGTTGCCGATGTCGTGCAGGTCGCAGTTTTTAAACAATAACACGGTAGTGTTGGTCTTCCACTGAGTAGGGATCTTGCATTCAGACAGGTAACGTGTGAAGAGCCGAGCCAGTGTGTTTACGAGGCTAGGCGAAAGGTTCCTTTAGGTGTTCTGGTCTTATCCTGCCCGGATCTGTTGCTGTTTGATTTTTCACCGACGAAATGGCATGTCGGATTTCGGAAATGAAAACCGGGGGTCAACATATCCATCCTCCCTTATTTCATATGATGGAAGGCGGACGTGGCTATCCAAGAGATCCAAGTACTATTCGTGAATGGTTTTCTCCATTGCCGCTCTGGACGTTGTAACTGTTCCGTCTGGGCGCCAGAGTGCAATCGTTTCGGTCTTGTAATTGGCGAAGCTTCGGTGGGTTTTGCGAATGCTTTTCCCAGCCTCTGCGACTTCGACCATTACTGCTGCTCTTCTCTCTCTAAGATCTTCTATCATCGTCTCTCTGCAATGCTTTGCAAGTTCGAACGTTAGTTCGCGGTTGCATGCAGCTCGTGCAATTCCACGCTGGCGTATCAGCTCGAGTGTTTCTGGAGAAAGACGTCTCTTGCTGACTTTCGAACTCTCAGCTTTCATAGCGCTAGCGTGAAGATGTTGAATGAGCCGATCGTATTCTTCGTCGATGTTATCGACAATGGCATATTCCCAACAGCCGACTAATGAATTAAGTAAATCCCAGTTTACGGTGGTTCCTTCGGTTTTGGAATTTAGCGACTTTTTCTCCTTTCGGCGAGAAATAGAATCTTGCATGAAGCAGGCGATGCTCTGATTCCGTGTAGAATTTTGGAACAGCGGCGACGTCGACAAGGCAAACCCTTCGATTTACTGTGACGAGATGTATTTCGTTTTGGTATTGTCCACTGGGAAACTCCCACGTCCAGCGTCAAGGGTTGGGCCTCTGAAATTGCGACTTACCATGGATGGTCTTGGTCGTTATGATAAACTCAGATAGCCGCTCACCATGTTTGTTCCATTCTAACCCGTGGGTCCCAATGTGACGTTTCTGAGACGTTCTTCTTGGCCCAATCTTGGCGTTGAAATCTCCAACGATATCGTTGAAGAATGTGTGGTCTTCTCTGTAGAGCTTCCCCAAGTCCATATAGAACCTCGACTTCTTCGTTATAGTTTGATGTCGACGCCTTATCGACGAAGATTGTCAAAGCCGGAATTAATCCACGTTTTTTAAATCATAAACATCCGATTTAGGTTGTAAGTTGTTCGATTGAATCGATATTCATAGACAAACTCGTGTTGACAAGAACGCCGACTCCACCGACTCCTCTACTGTCGCATGTTCCGAAGAACAATTCTTCTCCGGTGCCATAGACGGCGTTGAAAGGCTGGCGTCTTTCGGTCTCAACCAGGCCGATGACGTCGTACCTTATCCTTTTTGCTTGCATGTGCAAGACTTCTATCGAGGACTCGTATGCAAGTGTACGTGCATTGTAGGCACAAATCGTCACCATAGTTCTTTGAAATCCAGGCAGCTTCCATTGGTCCTGAGATTTTAGCAGCCTCTCCGTACTTGTCCTACCCAACGCTGCGAAATTGGGGTCTCTTTCGGGGTCAAAAAAATGAGGCCCGTTTTGTTTACTGTGTTTAGCATTTTTGTTACCCACGTATAGCTTGCTGGGCTCTTAACATGGAAGCTGGGTATACTCACGGGTAGCTTGCCAGGCTCTCCCAGAGCGGACATGGAGCTTATTTGTTGGAGGCGACTCCTAACCGCCTCCCATATACTTCCCAGTCACTTGATTGCAGGCTTTCGGCCGAATTGACTTGTAGAATACAATCCGCATAAGCAAGAACGCACCCACACACGCATGCATGAATACGCTTAGCAAATACAGAAAGTATGTGCCAAATCAGCGCAGCTGAAACTGGGAGTCCATCCCTTGGATCCACCTGCGTCTCAGGGAAGCAACGGTCGCATTCGCTCCCAATTAACCCCCTTTTCGCCACCTGGGTACGCGCCGCGTATCCTCGCGACTAATCGGCTCGAGATCCCTCATATGAGGGAGATCTGTGGGCCCTTGCGGATAAGAGGGATATTTGCCACAATGCGAATAGTTTGATACCAGGTAAGAGGTGGATCTTGGTATTGGTTTACTCTTAGCTGGGCTTCCTGGTAGAAGCGCCGGATTGCTCAACTTGGGATACCGTGCCGGAAAGATGAATCTCCCTGCTGGAAATCGCAGCTCGACTCCCAAGAGCATCTCCCAGCCACGATAAGGTGGTAAGCCGTTGTGAGGTTTTTTACCCATAGCGACGTAAATCCTTCTGCAGGAATGTTTCGCAGCACACATTTATTATTAACCATGTTTAGATATTCGGTGTGTTGCAGCAGGGCAAGGCTTCATTCTTCTCGTTGTTTTCGAGAGATTCCTTAATATTAATGGAGATACGATTTGAGCTTTCATTTAAAGAAGTCAAGCGAATTTGGCACAAGTTTTATTTTCTTTGATAAGGAGCTTGTTATCCTTTGCTGGGTCTTTCCTAATCTTTCAGTCATATGAGGACAGGGCTTCACTGAGAATGTTCTCGTCGAACGTAAATGCCTTTTCCTTTTTAGATGACAGTACTTCTTTTTCAGGTTATGACTGATTCGAGTCTTTGCACAGAAAATGTGGTGCCTGGATCAAGTAGGCACTATTTTTTATTCATGAGAATATAACCGACCTCCGCCTGAAACGCGTTGTTAGGAGACCCTATCTTCATTGGCATTTCTCCATCTTCTCAAGGAATAAATTTTTATGGAAGAGACGTGCTTGGGAAATTAGTCCGGCGAGATAGTTTCCATTTCCATTTCGTTTTGTTATTCCGCACTTTTCCATCCCGCATTGATTTTCGCTGGCCATTCCTAATCTGGCACTAATGCATCCAATAAAAAAATTACCGAAGGACTTCCCGTTGCAAATTACTCTTTTCAAGTGCTTGTAGAACGCCTCCAGTTTGTCCTTACCAGCCCTGCAAGTCGGTGAATAGCAGTTGGTGGTACTCAGTTTCAAGTTAGAGACGAAGAATGGCCAATCCCAGTGGCAGGATTTCGTAGGAGTTGACAAGATGGGCAATAGACGGCTGTATGACAGGTCAAAGCAGCCTACATTTCTTATGGAAATTTGCTTCCGCGAATGAAAATGGTTTTGTCATCTAATTGGCGGATGTCGATTTGCCCGCTTTTCGGCTTTTGAGGGAATAACACACATTTACACTATCAACGGTCTTAAGAAAATCGTAAGATCGGCTTTTGAAGAGACTGTCATTGTGTTATAGCTGAAGAGTTGGAAGCACTGCATGTTGTAAGCGTATTCGTTTTCTCCGTTTTCGATGACGTCCTATGCAACCCAAGGCTTTATCTCTTCTCTCCTGTTGGCTCCCATTCCGCAATCGTATACAGAAAGGCCTATTGTGTGGTGCCGAAACAGTTAACTTTAGAAAAGCTACTTTAGGAAACTCCAATATGTAACGGTTTACAGATTATATTGAGCGACAAAATAAGTAGCAAGAGATGATAGAAATACGCGTTGAAATTTGAAGCTACATTATAATCTGTAAGTTGAACTCTGTTTCAGGACTGAATGGTTTTGGTGGGCCTGGAAAGGAACAAATCCAGATAAAGATGTTGTGTCTTATGTCAACAAGAACTATAAACCGGGTACTACATATGCTGACTTCGCCAAAGATGTTAGTTGAAAGTTTTGTGGCATTTTGTTCAAACACTTTCTTTTATCTCTGCAGTGTTGGTGGGCATGTTGCACAGTGACTAAAGGTACCGTGCAAAACAGACGTGGTCGTAGGTTAGACCCCACGTCCTAGACCCACCAGGGCTTCCATTCTTTCGGGTTCGTCAAATTAGCACTAGCCTTCTCTGGTACGATGACCAGCACTGACTTGATATATCGGCATGCTACCGCAAGTCGTCTTATAGGCCAGATATGTCATCAGTTTCCTCTAATGATGCTTAGTAAAGTCGAGTGCATAGCAGATATCTCAGAGATTGATCAACGCCGTAAGCTTCATCCTTCATCCTTTGTGACGCTTTGCAACATGAACAGATAAAAGTAGTCAAACAAAACAACGTAAGTGTAGGCAGAGTAGCATTACAAAATCGAAGCATTCCTTCCTATTTTTGCTCATTGCGAGCACCTCATTGATATCACATGAAATTTCTGCATGCTTTGGTTTTACTTGGAATACTGTAGTCGGTGGAACATACTTCAACAGATTTTCAGTTCACAGCTGAGCTTTTTGACGCAAACGATTTTGCTGATATCGTCAAGTCATCTGGAGCAAAGTGAGTTTAGTGGACAGTTCTCGTAAAATACGATCCGAAGAAAAGAAAGAAAGAACAGGTCTCGTCACGTAGTTAGTTAGTCGCTTGGCTCAAAACGACATTGCTTCTTCTAATCCAGTTTTAATCTTTCACCAAGCCCTTGTTCACACCATTCCTGTAGCTACGTTATTCTATTAAAGAGGTCGTAGTCCACCTGAAAGTATGCCTGTCTCGTAGATTGCCTATTTCACTGCGTTGAACCTTAAGTTCTGAGCACGCGTTGCATGTTGACTTGTAGCGTTTTGCGTTTTCAACCTTCGAGTTGTTGATAATTGCTCAACCATATAATCACTTACTCATTGTGAGAGAGCAGGCACAGTGTTTTATTTGCCTCAAGCACAATAAACAGTATACACTGTTTCTATACTTGAAGTCATAAATATCCTATTTCAAGGTACGATACTCCTTTTGGTAGACTTTCCTTCCATATTTTACCAAAATGTTAAACTGAGGCAACGTCAATTGCATAAGGCCGTGGTTAAGTACAGATTCCCCCAAATTTCTTTGTTACCTCTTCATTCTTAGCAGCCTTTATTCTTCCAGGTCTCTTGATCTGTTAATGTCTTGATTACATAATTTTCTGGAAATTTCACGTTTGCTGAATGGTGTGTATCGATCGCTTCCCACTTACGTATTTCCAATCCCTCATCCAATAACTGCAAACACATTGACAACGGTGCCTAATTTTCGACAGTTGCGTTAGACGATGACGTCTAATTTCCAGCCGAGCATCTACCGCTCGAAATGAGTGCCCATAGTGGCTACAGAGACCGTGTGGCGCAGTGGTGCGAGGCACCCTGTAACACACACGTGGAATCGATTCCCGCTCCCATGGCCCACCAAGTCTTCCATCCTTCCGGGGTAGGCAAATTGGTGCCAAACTTGTCTGGTAGGATGGCGGCACAGCGAGTTATTGTAAAAGAGAGATATACATTCATTCAGTTCCAACGATACTTAATGAAGTTGAATGCACCGTGCAATCCTCAGGGATTGATCAACACCAAGAACTTTAGCTTATATCCATTCTTTATAGTGGATACATATTAGTACCATCCTCAACACTGCCTGTGTTAGGTTGCTTTGCAAGAAGCAAACAACCGCTGGTGGACACATGAAGGCAAATAAACTAGACCGAATTCGTACGATAAAATACATGTTCGTTTGTTGTGCAATTTCATGTGTAAAACACAATTTATCTGACACAATTCGTGATGCTCAAAAAGGTATCGATCTGGTGGAAAATGGTATGCAAAAAAGCTTTGCGAGGCAAAGAAAGAACAATTGGGAAAGATAATGATATATTACTCCATCGAAAACGCTCATCTGGATATGACTCAACTACAACTCATTTCATCCTGAATGTGTTGGATATGTCGAACATGTAATGCGGCCTAATTATTAAATTGCTATTTATGTAAGGCCTTAATTAAAGAGCTTAAAGGGTCTATTTCAGAGAAAGTCAGAACTAGTAATCAAAACCATTCCATTAGTCCTATTCTATGATTTGAAGAGTTTATTAGCTAAACTGTCTGACGTGCTCAAGTAATCAGTAACCAGAATTAGTATCGATTTCAGATACTTTGTCCTAACAAGCAAACACCATGAAGGTTTCACAATGTGGCCAAGCAGAACAAGCTGGAATTGGAATTCAGTGGATATAGGACCTAAACGAGATATTGTTGGTGAATATTAGCTTTCCATGTATTGGAACTTATTATTGCGAATGTGCATTCCTAACGAAATCATCATAGGCGCTCATGTGGGCGTCGAATTGGGCAAAATAATAAGATTAAGTGATACTTTACAGCGACTTCCAATTCTTATTGTCGAAGAACGGAGCTCGTTGTTTTTAATATGTCCGATGTGAGCTTTAAAACAGAAGAAATGCTATGTTATGCCGAGTTTTAGGTGAACTGAAGAATGCTTTCAAAGGAACCGACGTTCATTTCGGTCTTTATTACTCAATGTTCGAATGGTTTCATCCATTGTTTATCGACGACACAAAGTACAATACAACCGCTTATGTTGATGTACGAACAACTTCTGCACTACTATTAATCGCTATCAATCACTTTGAGTTGAGTTTCAGCAAGTTTCCTTTCCGCAACTAACCGAGATTGTTAGCCTTTACAAACCAGAAATTGTTTGGAGTGATGGTGATTGGGATAAAAGCGATGATTATTGGAGAAGCAAGGAATTTCTAGCTTGGCTTTACAACGCTAGGTAAATTGTTCGACTACTTCAAATTCAATCTTAACCCCAAGTCCGACTTTCTATTAACCTCGGCATTGATTGAATATATCTTTCTACTTCTGTTCAGCAAGCACGAGGTGCTATTTTATTTCTTTATTTACGCACAAGCTGACGTTTCGGTGGATTTCGCCTTTCTCAGAACCTGGAAGGGTCAACTTGACAACAATCCATTCGGCCAAACACCTCCATAACCAAATAGGGAAAACGCTAAACCATGATTTCAGTCACATTTAGCATAGCTCTGCACACTCACCGCTTTCTATGAGTCTTCCACTGAGTATGTCGCGTGAAGACCGACCGCACCAAATTCACATGGAAGCGTAATGTGCTCCTCCCATCAGAATAACAGGTTTATATAATAACAGTTTTTAACAATTNTTGACAGCAATCCATTCGGCTAAACACCTCCATAACCAAACAGAGAAAACGCTAAACCAAGATTTCAATCGCATTTTTCATAGTTCTGCACACTCACCGCTTTCTATGAGTCTTCCACTGAGTATGTCGCGTGAAGACCCACCGCACCAAATTCACATGGAAGCGTAATGTGCTCCTCCCATCAGAATAACAGGTTTATATAATAACAGTTTTTAACAATTTTTTTTAGTAACAGGTTTTTTTTAAACCTGTTATTCTGATGGGAGGAGCACATTACGCTTCCATGTGAATTTGGTGCGGTCGGTCTTCACGC